TCGGCTGGGGTGACGTGAGTGTCCAGAGGTGTCTGGGAGAGACTGACTGGAGCTATCAGCCGCGGTCCTTGGTTCTTCTATGCGCGGCGTCTGCGGGGGCTAGGAAGTTTCCATGTGTGGTGCCCGGGCTGGGATGGCGAGGATGCTGGGGGTTGGCCAGCCCTGCTGTCTGTCTCCACGTCCTCCCCTATGGCTGGCTTGAGCTTCCTCCCAACGTGACAATCTCAGGGTCATTGGACTGGTCCCATGGGGGCTGGCTGGGGAGAAGCAGGAGCGAGGACCACGAGGCCGGTACGGCGCATGCCCAGAACAGCCCAGCGCATGCCCAGAACAGCCCGACGTCACTTCAGCTCTGTTCTGTTGGTCAAAGCAATTGCAGGGCCTGAGTCCAGGGGGCGGAGAGAGACTCGACCACTCGAGGGAGTGGCAAGGTCATATGATAGAAACACAGGCACACGGGACATTCCGGTGGCAGCCATCTTTAGACAGCGCTATGTGCCACAAACAGGAATTCCAGGCCGAAGGCCCTGAGGCTGGAACAGAGCCCCCGATGAGGGACGACTGTCTGAGCTTCTGCTCTGTCCCCGAGGACCACCTGCAATCGACAAGCTTGGACAAGAGCAAGTCTGGCAAACCCCCTCCCCCCAAGAAGGGCAGGCCGCCGGCTGCAGGCAGCGGGGAGAAGCGCCGACAAAGAATTGCACTCCCAGTGGTGTGCCGTTCCGCGCAAAACCCGCCTCGATCTTGAACCTTGGTCTGGAGACAGCTGAGGCAAGTGTTCTCCCCGCGGTGTTTGAGTTGGGTGGAGGGTTTCTTACAGGATGCGATAGTCAGGCAGTTCTTCGTGGGTTTTCCTGAATGTGCCCCGTCGGTTGGTGCGAATGGAGCCGCACCGGCTCGGCTGGCAGGTTCCCCGCTCCCAGCGAGGCTGCAGGGTGTGCAGAGGAAGCGCGGGGTCTGGCGGCCCAGGCCTTAGGTTCAAATCTTGGGTTTATCAGCCATTAGTTTTGCCTTTGGGAAAGTCACTTAACATCTGTGAGTTTTCTCACTGGGACAATTAGAAGAATAATTGTCCCTCCGTATTGAGTTTTGCAAGAATGAGGCATTGGATAACTGTTGAGTACCTTTCCTTGGAAAATGACCAGGAAATCTTTCCACTCCTTGGGTCAGTCTAAAGGTCCTGGACGCTGAACCTAGGGAAGGAAACACCAGTTCCTTGCCAAGCGCCGTGCGCCCCGTCCGTTGTGATGACACACACGAGCTCCTTTCTGAAGGGGACAGGACACGCAGCACAGTATTTCTAGTGACACCGACAGTGTGGTCGTGGCAGTCTTGGCAAGCTGGGCTCCTTCTCCTTCTCTGGGCTGGGGTGAATGCCCGTCTCCTGCAAGAGGACACCCCCAGTACCTGGTGTCCACTGAGGTCCTCCCTGCTTCTTTCGGTCTCTGTGCCTGTTGACACTTCCAAAGCATTCATCTCGTGCTACAGTTAAGCTATGACTGTTTCCTTGGTCATTGCTTCCCCTTTCTCTATTTATTATTCCCTGACTGGTTTTCATCTGGTCTTCACAACAGCGTTGGAAGGAATCATTTCTGTGCCTGCTCCCCGCAGCGGCAGCAGGTGGGTGACAAGGGGACAGACTGGGCATGGGGGAGGGGGAGAGGTAGAAATAGCGGAAGAATAGAAAGCCATGTTCATGGGCAAATTTTGGTGAACTGACACGGAGTAGGAACAATTGAGCCTGTGGATGGAGGGTGCTGTGGGGCAACTGGGGACTGAGGATTATGGACAATGAAAATATGTTGGCTTATCTATCTCAAAAATATTACTGCCGTTATACTTATCTTCTGAAAAAAAAATGACAGAAATAGCACTTCGTATGAAAAGTTCTTAGCACACTGCCTGGCATTTAGTGAACGGTCATGAAATGGAAATGATGTTAATGAGATTGATAATGCAGCAGATGACAGGGGTAAGACTCGATAAAGTAGCCTTGGCTGGTGTGCCTCAGTGGATTCAGTGCTGGCCTGCGAGCCAAAGGGTCGCCAGTTCGATTCCCAGTCAGGGCACATGCCTAGTTGTGGGCCAGGTCCCCATAGCGGGCGTGAGAGGCAACCACACAGCGATATTTCTCCCCTTTTCCTTCTCTGTCCTTTCTCCTCTCTCTAAAAATAAATAAAATCTTAAATAAAGAGACTCAATAAAGTAGTTCCTCATCTTAAGTCCATTGAGTTCTCACTGTAAAGGTTCTAAGTTGGACCTTCCCGCTCATCAGCTCCATACTTTTCCTTATATTTGTGTGCATGTGTGAAGAACGTGCTGTCTGTATGTGAGTGCATTCATTTAAAAGGTGCTCTTTTAATTTTATGCTTTATTGCACACGTCTTGACAGTAGAGCATTTCCATGACTCATTATACATGTTGTAGATTGCCTCCCAGATGACCTCAAATGACCCCGATGCCTTTGTCTTCCTACCTTTGCGTACTCCTCTCCCTTTGCGTGGGGGTTGACTTTTGTGACTCACTCCTAGCAACCAGAATGCAGCAGAGGTGCTGGGACACCACTTCCAGGGTTAGGCCGTGCTTCCTGACTTGGGTGAGCTAAGGGAAGCCATCCGGCACGCCGAGAACCACCCTGTACAGAGGTTCCCATGGCTAGGAACAGTGTGGGCCCCCGGAGAGTGAGGAAAGAGGACTCGCAGTCCAACAGCCCTCGAGGGACTGAGTCCTGCCAGCAACCACGCCTGTGAGTTCGGCAGTGGATCCGCGTGCAGTTGAGCCTTCAGATGAGACCGCACCCCTGGCGAGACCGCAACTTCATGAGAGACCGTGAGCCAGAAGCACCCCGTTGGGCTGTGCCTGGATCCCGCCCCGTATAAGACAGTGAACTTCACTGTGTGTTTTCCCACTGCTCCACCAACAGGCCGTTCCCCCATCTCTGCCCGCTCCTCTGCCTGTTCCCTGCGGCATCGCATTGAAATTAGGCCGGTTGGTAACCCTGCCGTGGCCTCCAGATGTTCAAGTGAAGAGTCGCATGGCTCTCACTTTGAGCTCAGTGAGGAAGGCGTGTCCAAGGCCGACACAGGCCAAAAGCCAGGCCTCCTGCACCCCCAGAATGAGCCAAATCGTGGGCCAAGTTGTGAATACAAAGGAAGCGATTTTGAAATTAAAAATGCTACCCCAGCAAACACAGGAGTGATGAGAAAGCAAAACAGCCTTGTTGCTGACACGGAGAGCGTTGTAGTGGTTTGGATGGAGGTCCAGCCAGCCACACAGCACTCCCTGAAGCCAAAGTCTAGTCCAGAGTCAGGCCCTAACTCTCTGCGACTCTTCGAAGACAGAGAGAGGCGAGGAAGCTGCGGAAGGCAAGTCTGAAGCTGGCGGAGGCTGGTTCATGAGGCGTAAGGACAGAAGTCGTCTCCGTAACATCGCCACGCTGGGTGGAGCAGCAAGTGCTGAGGGAGACACCGCAGCAAGTTACCCAGAAGGCCTGGCTGAGATAATCCCCGGAGGTGGTTGCCGTGAACAGTGCATTTTCAGTGCAGACGGGGCAGACTTACACGGGAAGAGGATGCCACTGGGGACTCTCATCGCCAGAGAGGAGGAGCCAGTGCCCAGCTTCGGCCTGCCAAGGACAGGCCGACTCCTGGTAGGGGCCGAGACGCCTGGTGACTGCAGGCCGAGGCCAGTGCATGCTGAGCATTCTGAGCATCCCGGGGCCCTTAGGGGACTGTGCGAGATCTCCTCGGCCTGTGTGCTGTGTGAGGGGAAAACAAATATAACGTGGCTTACTGAATATTTTAAACCCACTGCTGAGACCTACTGCTCAAAAAGAAGGTTCCTTTCAAAACATGACTGCTTGTTAACACCGTAACAATTACTGCTAACACAACATCCACTCCTCAGCCCACGGATCAAGGAGCAGTCTTGACTTCCAAGTTGCATTATTGAAGAAATCCATTTTGTAGGGCTATCGCTGCGACAGATAGTGATTGCTCTGATGGGTCTAGGCAAAGGACATAAAAAACCTTCTGGGAAGGATTCGACCCTCCAGATGCCATGAAGAACACTGGTGATTCATGAGCAGAGGTCAAAATATCTACATTAACAGGACTCTGGAAGAAGTGGATTGCAGCCTCGTGGATGTCTTGGGAGGGTTCCGGCCTTCCGTGGAGGAAGCAGCCACAGGTGGGGACACAGCAAGGGGACCGGAACGGGAACTGCAGCCCCCAGATGTGACTGAATTGCAGTCGCCTCAAGCTCATGCTGCGGCCGGAGGAGTCGCAACTTGTGGACGCGCAAAGGAAGAAAGTGGTGTCCCGAGACGGAACCGACTCCTGCTGCAGGCGCCGTGAAGACGGCTGAGAGGAGCGTGAGGATTTAGAATATGACGTGAACTCAGTGGATAAAGCAGCAGCAGGGTCTAAGAGGCTCAGCTTCCATTTTGGGTAAAACACTGTCCCACAGCATCACAGGCTGCAGAGAAATCGTTGGGGAAAGGGACAATCAGCAGAGGTGGCAAACGTCACTGTTGCCTTATTTTGAGAAATCGCCACCCCAGCCTTCAGTAACTACAGCCCGGGTCAGCCAGCAGCCAGTAACACTGAGGCAAGGGCCTCCACCAGCACCACGGTTGGCGGACTCACTAAGGCTCAGATGGTGGTCAGCATTTTTTAGCACGAAGAAAGTATTTTTAAAGTAAGGTGTGTACATTGTTTAGTTTAGTTTAGTTTTGTTTTTGGACATGATGCTGCACATTTAATAGACTACAGCATACGGTACGCATCACTTTTATAGCCTCTGGGAAACCACACAGTTTTTGTGACCTGTTCCACTGCGATGCTGTCTTTACTGAGGTGCTCAGGTGCTGCACCCCACAATCTCTCCCAGGCTTGCCTACAGAGCCCTTCTCAATGAGAAATACGCAACACAGACCGTCTGTACAGAAACAAGCTTAATAAAGTTTTCTTTTTTAAAGCACAATCGTACCTTTCCTGGCAAATTGCCGCATCCCCTTGCCAGCTGGGGGTTGTGTAGATAACACTGCGGATTACTGGGTTTCGTTTGCAGCCAGCCCGCGCAGCACCTGATGGAGACGCGAGAGGAGGGGACCACGGAGTTTAGGATTAGGAACCGATGACCATTTTTCCTGCCTAAGTTTTTTAAAAAGCCACTTCGAAGGGCGCATCAACCAGTCAGCGAATCCACTTGTTCCAGCGGGGGTGGAGCGTGGGGAGGAGCGACACGCACAGCTCCGGAATCCTGGTCTTCCAAGTGTCGCCGCGCGTCCCCTGGGGCCTCCCGGTCTCCCTGGAGCCCCACCGCCTAAACGCACCCCTCTTCCCGCGCGGACCAGACATGCCACCACAACCACCTCCCACTTCGGACTGTGGGGCTTTCTCGGGCGAGTCCAGCTAAGAGGGTTCCCGGGACTCGGCGCGAACTGCCCGCCTCCTCCCGCGTCTCCGCCCCCTGCCAGGGCCGCTGGGCGCCGGGGGAGGCGAGGGTGCCGCTGCAGGAAAATGAGCGGTGCCCGGAGGGTGGCCGGGAGCTGCAGGTAAGCGCGCCGGCCCTCCCTCGGGCGGAGCGGGCTGCGCCCAGGGGCTGCGCGGGGCATCCCGGGCGGCCGGGGCGCAGGGCGGGGGGCGCGGTCCGTTCCGAACGAGGGGCACTAACGCTCGTGGCTTGTCGCGCAGGGACGTGCCCGCGGCTGCCCCCAGGAGCGGCGGGTGGCGGCGGCGGCGGTGAGCGGGGTCCCGCGGCGGGCGCCGAAGCCTCCGAAGATGGAGAAGTTTCTGCAAATCGCGCCCCACTCTCTGGCCATCGTCCTGGGCCCGGCCGAGGGTCCCGCGGGGGAGAGATCCGGGGCCGCCCCGCTCGCGCCTCCGGCGCAGCCCCGGCAGCTCTCCCGGCACCACATCGGCTACGAGATCTTCGCCGACTTCAAAGCCGAGAACATGCAGCACTTCTGGAACAAGAAGGTCACGGCTGCGGTGGCCGAGACCTTCTTCCTGGGCTGGATCGACGAGCAGGTCCTGCTGATCCAGGGCAAAGAGGAGCATCTGGAGGTGCTGCGCGAGGGCTGGACGCGCCGGGCGCTGCGGCCGCCCTCGGGCTTCCACATCCGCTGCCTCGGTGAGTCCGGCGGCCGCGGGGACCCGCCCCACCCCGCCCCGAGCGCGCCGCGGGCCCGGGGCCCCGGGAAGCCCCGGCCGCTCCCCTGGGCGCCGCGCGCCTCCCTCCCGCTTCGCTCCCGGCCGGGGGAGGGGCCGGCGGCCCTCTGCGAGCGCGGGATTGGGGGACAGCCCGGCGGCTGTAACCGGGGACTGTACCTTTCCCCACACGCCTCCGGGCGGCCCGCGGAGCCTCCCCGGCGGCGGGGCGGTGCCGGGGGCTGGCCAGGTAGGCGGCGGCGGTGGCGCTTGAGGCGCGGCGAGTCTGCGGCCGCTCCGGGCTTGGCGAGCGGCACCTTTTCCGCAGAGATCGGGCCGGGGGAGTGTGTGCGCGCCGGAGAGACGCCGAGAGAGAGAGAGGATTCAGGTAGCATCAGGTGGCCGCGGGTTCTACCGCGGGAGGCGACGGCGGGCAGCTCGGGTGCGCTGCGGGCCCCGGGGCGTCCCTTCCGGGGATGCGTCTGGCTGCACCCGGGCGGGTTGCCTTTTAAGCGCCGGCATTTCTGGGCGATTTCGTTCGCAGTGTCCTGCCTCCAGGACACCTTTCTGCAGGTCGTTTGTGTGTTGAGGGAAGGAGGGGACGCGAGGAGGACAGGAAAGTCCGATTCTCAACGGAAGTGCAAACAGGGCCCCTGGGAAGAGGGCCCGGCAGGGGCTGGTCCGCCGCGCACCTGGTGCTTGAGGAGCTGTGTGTTACTGCTTTGTTTGTTTTCCTTGATCCCGCGTGCATCTCTTTTACAGCACGCTTCTTAGTTTCGTACTTTGGGCACGGTGGCTAAACCCATATACAGAAAGAGTGCTTTGTGAAACGATTTCAAGAAAGAAAGCATTCTTGTTAGTCCCAAGGTTTAGAAATGCTTTCATGACATTTTGGGAGGAGGTCAAAAGTTCAAAAGCCAAGGGACTGTAAGGCCGCCTTTTTCCTCGCCGCTGCTCCATAGCCTTCCTCCGAAGGACTGGCTTTCACTTGCTCGTGTGTCTTCCCCTATGCAGAGGGCCAATTTATAGCATTTTACACATTTCGTTGTGTTTTGTCTGTTTCTGCCTAGTGGAAACCTTTACAAAGCTTCCCGTGAATTGAACAGACAAAAAACCAAAAAAAAACAAAACAAAAAAACAAAACCCGAAACAAAACTGGGGAGGCTTGCATCTTGTTTATTTTATAACCTGTGCTGAATTTCAAAAGGTGCCTTAAGTTTCTCCTTTCTTGACTTTAGCAAAACCTCAAGGGTGCCCCCGTAATTAAGCCACCTTGGTGAAGGGGCCAAGGTCGGTGTCTCTGAGAAAGACCCCCCACTCATGAGGAAGTGAGCCTACTGGTGGTCTTTGGGGTGCGGGCTACAAATTACATTGCAGTTGTTTTCTTTTAAACCTGATGTCGCGTTTATTTTTCGCATTGTGCTTTGGCACATTTCAAACACATACAAAAACACTATAATCCAACAATACATCCAAGCCCCGTGTACCCTTACTCCAACTGCAAAGTTTACCAGCACCTGGCCGGTCCTTCTCCATCTAAATGGACCAGGGTATCCCTCCTACCATTTTGAAGTCCCAGGCATCATGGCAATATTTGATTTGTAAATACTTCAGTTGCTCATATTCCCTTTCCTTGTAGCAGAGTTGGTAAGCTCATAGGCGTTGGTGATCTGCATATGAACCAAAGAAAAGTAGTTTGGCTGTCAAGTTTCCAAGATGCTGTAGTTGACTGACTGCTGCCCAGATCTGGGTGGAGAGCCTACGGGAGTCAAGGAGACCAGCAGCTTGTGGGCGTGGCCGCTGCGTCCCCCAGCCCAGCCCATCCCATCACTCGGTACCATTACCGGAAGCCAAGGGCTGCCTCCTGAAAGGGAGGCACTAGGTAACCGCCAGAGCCCTGCCTCCTGGGGTCCCAGTGGTGACTTCCTTTTGAGCTGTCTTGAGGGTGCAGGAGTCTTACTAGAATTTAGCTTTAGTAATGTTGGTAAGGCTGAATTGTTTGAGAGAGTTTGTCTACTGTAAAAATTATCTAAGGAAGTCCGCAGTGTCTGCTGCAAAGGTTTCCTAACTTTTTTTTTTGTTGCAAGATTTCTCACCGAGCTTTGACATTCCAAAGTCTCCGAGTCACTGATGACTGGCTCACAGCCTTTTCTTTTGAGCCACAGTGCAGGTGTTGACAAGTTCATAGGAAAAAAACAAAAAGCAAAAAACCCCACACAAAACACAACAAAACCCAAGGGTTCACACAGAGGGAGCCTGGCTGTAGCTCTTCTCTGAAAAGAATGATTGACATTCTATAGGAAGACCCTTGAATCTGACCAGTTTCTATTCACAAGCAAGCAGGAGTCACTAACTTTGGTACTTTATTATTTGTAATACATTTCTTGCAGCATCTCTTTCAACTGATCCCCCAGACTGTACCACCTACATTACAATCAAGGACTTTGATGTTATTTTGTGACTTCGGCTAATTGTTTCCCAAGTGTGGAGCAGCCAGCGAGCCAGACACACAGATGAGCTTTACTGAAGCCGTTATATTCCTACTTGTTGAACTTGAACTGAAATCATCAGTCTCCAGTTGCCATGGTATTATTCTTAAGGCAGATTATTATTAAATTATTATTTACAAAATCTGATTGTTTTCCAGTCGGTCTGTCAGAGAGTGGGCATGAAATCGTCCCGTCAGATCCTCGCAGGAGGGAAGGAGAGGGATGGCTCTGAGTTCTGTTCCCCGAGATGTGTGCGCCGGCACCTCGGAGCTGAGCGAGAACCGGGGAGTGGTTTGCGCAGGCGCCCTTCTCTGGCTGAGCTGCTGTACAGTGGAGGCAAACCCACCGCTCACCATAGGACCTGTAACGAGCTGGTGGTTTGTTTTGTGACTGCAAATATTTGTATTGAAGTGGCAAGCATTTCTGTGCCTGGAATTCCAAAAGCAGGCGGCTCTAACCCACTGTAAAATTTCAGGTGGGGGTTTAGACCGGAGGCGGCAATTACTGGATGTCGTTTTCATTTGCAATACACAAATCCGCTACTTGGCAATAACCTGCCCTAGGCATGTAGAAAAAAAGTTCAGACTTTTGATTTCCAGGACCAACAAAGGGGATATGTATGCCCAGGAAACTCCTAATGTTCTAAAGTTGTGCTGTATATTTTGAGTAAATCACATTACATTAAACCTCACACGTGTTTATCCAGGGCTGACTAGTTAGTGCCAGTCTCCGTGAGTCACCCCTGGGGTTCTGGAGATGATGAGGCATGCAGTCTTTTTGGGGGATACTGATAAGAACTAAGAGTGTGGGAAGTGCTTTGAGGACAGTGAGCAAGAAAGACTTACTTCTGCCTTGTGAGCTGGCGGAGAGCTTCCCCAGCAATGAGGCCTTGAGCTTGGCCTTGTGCAGATGCGGGGTGTGGGGTGCGAGGGGTTCATCCAGAGCAAGAGAGCTTTCCCGCCAGGCAAGAGCATGAGCCAAGTCACGGGGCTGGGGAGTCGTGACATGTTTGGGAAGTGGCTGGTTTGGGTGTGGGGGAGAAGCCGCGTGTGATATGGCAATGGGAAGGGAGGCTAGGGCTGGTGTGAACAGTTAGAAGCCACTGGAGACTTTTAAAGATTTTATTTATTTATTTATTTATTTTCAGAGACAGAGAGGACAGGAGGGAGAAAGAGAGGGAGAGAGACATCTGTATGATTGGGGGCCTCTAGAACACGCCATGAATGGGGTCCGAACCCACAACCCAGGCATGGACCCTGGCCCGGAATCCAACTGACGACCTTTTCTTTTGTGGGACAATGCCCAACCAACTGAGCGGCACTGGTCAGGGTGCCACTGGCGGCTTTTAATCAGGGAGAGGGGTGACGTGATTTGATCTTTTGTACGAGGAGAATCTGGGGCCAGTGAGGGTGATGGATGGGGCCGGGAGAGGCGTAGACACAGCTGTGGGGAGAGACGGAGAGTGCCCTATTGGAGCATGTGCCCTCTACGACCAGGGGTGCACGGGTGCGTCCCCACCGCCAGGGGAGAGGGCGCTGGAGCCCGGCTGATCCCACAGGCCTCTGTGTGAGCCCCAGTGCCCCTCCCTCCTGGGGCTCCCGGGCTTCAGGGCCCGCCAGCCTTGGTCAGATCTGCAGCCGGCCCCACAGGTCCCCCCACTTCGGATCTCAGGGAGCAGGGGTCAGTGTCTCTGACCCCTCGGGGGGTTCTTCACACTTTCCTAGCTTATCCTGTGGTGTTTAAATAGCCAGGACCAAATAGGCTTCTTAGACTATAAATCAAATCTTATGTTGTACCTGACAAAATGGCTTAGAACACGTGAGCATGGAGATTTTATTCCAATATCCTATTCTAATATCTTTATTGGTTTTCTCAAAAGGAGTTGCTCTCTTAGAGTGGTTTCTCCAAGTAGTAAATTTTAAGACAGAATTATTTAAAAAAATGTGTACTCCAAAATATGTTATATGTACTCCCCCAAAAGTTGATTGAGCAAGGTCAACTTAAAATTGCGTGCTATTTCTAGACTGATGGCTGGCATTGCTTAACGAGTGTTACAGAGCTTTCTGAATTAGAGATATTGATTGATTCAACAACCAGAGCACCTGCCATTTTCTGGGGTATTTGTTCTGGAAACTGACATAGAGAGCAAGTCCTTGTTTTTTTGGAGGTTCATCCTAGTGGGACAAGAGACATTTCAAAAACTAAACAAAGAAATAAGAATTTCGGGTGGTTGCAAGTGCTGTAAAATTTAAGCAGATGTCAGAACAGAGTGGCGGGGAGAACGAGATCATAGCTATGATTTATTGATCATTTACTATTTTCTAAGGACCTTATTTTTATTAATTCACCATGAAGACATCTATACTCTGTTGGTATCATTATTTTCCCAAATGAAACAGTTGAGGAACAGAAAGACGCACATTTCTCCCAGGACACCTAGTTAGGAAGCGACAGAGCTAAGAGTTGGACCTAGGCAGGGAGCTGGGAGACCCAG